AAATGTAGCTCTGCTGTTGCCTTGCTTTTGAATGACGGTTCCCAGAACAAAAATATCTGTTGTAGTCCCTGCTTTCAGTTCTTTTGGGATATCCCCAGAAGTGGAATTGGTAGATTATATGATGATTCTGTTCTTAATTTTTTGAACACCACTATATTCTCTGTAGTGACCACACCATTTTGTATTCTGAGCAGTGCATGAGGGTTGATGATTTTGATAATTCTGATGGAAGTCTGGTATATTTTTTGCCTAGGATCACTTAGGATTCTTGTTCTTAAAGGTCTGATAGCTTTTCTAGTAGATATCTTGGAAGGGGGTTGTTGTGAATAAATTTCCTGGTACTGTGTAGGTCCTTCGTATTCAGGTCATTTATTCTTGAACTTTTCTTGGACTATAGTTTTAAATATTATTTCCTTTTTTTGTTTTTTTCAGGAACTACAATGATATGGGTGATACTCTTTTGGGGGGGGGGTCTGATTTCCATTTCAACCACTTTCTCCTAGACCGTCCTTTATTTCATTTTTTTTCTCTTAAGTGGTTTTCCTGCTACACTTCAATGCCCATCCTGTTTTCATTTCAATCTATTTGTGTCTGTCTTGTAACTTTGTTTCATTTCTTTCTGAAATTCAGTCAACACTCATTTTGTTTCTTTATTATTTTGCCCGTTTCTGTTTAGCTTTTGAATTTTGTTTCCAGTTTTATTGAAATATAATTGACATGTAACATTGTGTTAATTTAAGGTCTGCAACATAATGACCTAATACATGTATTTGTTGGGAAAGGATTATCCCAGTAGGTTTAAGTCTATCCATTTCCTCAACATAGTTACAAATTTGAATTTTTGATTCAAGATGATTTCTCCTTATGTTTGAGGATACTGAATTCAGCTTATAGTGTTTTGTTGTGACTTTTTTTCTGTCACTATTTTTTCTCTTTCCTTTTTTTTTTTTTTCTTTTTCCTTTTTGTTTTTGTTTGTAGAATTTTCTTTAGCTGAACTTTGGATTCTCATTTTCTGTTTTGGTTTTCTATAGAGGAGGACTGCATATCTGCATTTCTGTAGACAACTGTCAGATTCTGGTGTTTTTGAAGTTTCCTAGTTCAGGGAGACTCTCCTGTTGGTGTAACTAGTATGATTTCTTTGCTGGATTGCAGGAGGAGAAGAGATTATATGTTCTTTTTTAAAGTTCTGTTCTGTTTTGCAGGACCCTGTATTTCCCCCCTTGCTTATTTTTCCCTTTACCTTGGAGTTTCCAAAAGGTGCCTTTTCCTTGCTTGTAACCTAACCCCCTTTTCCCCTGGAGCTTCCCCTTTCCAGGACTTTCTGTGCTCATTCTGCCTACGCTTTTAAAGTCCCATCCCTGTAGTAAGTGCTCTGACCTATCAGTACACCTTTTCAGCATTTTCTCATGTATGGTAGCTTTATTATTATTTTTTTTTTCTGATGGTTGTTTTCTATCAACTTTAAATCATCTCTTAGTTCCTCTCTTCTCTCTTTCATTAGTTTTCCTCCCTGAGCTGCTCTTCTACTCTCTGATGGCTTAATGTTGGAAGTATAGGAGATACATCACTGGTTTCGTGTTTTATGCTTTTTATAACATTTTTTTTTATTTTTTGCTTTTTAAATTTAATTTATTTATTTGAGATAGAACGAGAGTGAGAGAGAGAGAGTGAGAGCACAAGCATGGAGAGCAGAAGGCAGAGGGAGAAGCAGACTCCCTACGGAGGAGGGAACCCAATGCAGGGCTCAATCCCAGGACTTGAGGATGACAACCTGAGCCAAAGGCAGACGCCCAACCAACTGAGCCACTCAGGCACCTCTCTTTGTTGCTTTTTTAAAAATAGATAATTTATTCACAGGTAATTTGAATTTAGAATGTCCTCTGTCAAGGTATGCTCAAAGGATGTATGTTTTGTGTAAATGACCTGTGTTTCAGTAGAGGCTTATCTAAGGTATTTAGCAATCTTTGACATGATTGGGCTCAAGCTTTAAACTCAGTCTCACCTATGAACAGTAGCACACGCCTGCACAGCTCTGTTCACCTTCCATCCATTGTTAACCACTTGAGCTTTTTGTTGTCTTGCCTTCTGCATTCAGCCAAAGTATTCAGCCGACTTTAGGAGGTGCTTGTGTGTAGATCTGAGGCTCCATCCTTAGTTGCTCCCACTTTTCTAGGATTTCGCCATTCAGTTTCCAGGAAGTCGGTAAGCCACAGACTCTTGATCAGTTGTTCCTCATGTGCCACTTGGACTAGGGAGTGCCCTCCGGTGAAAAATGAGTTAAATACAGGTCTCACACTGGGTGTGTCCCTTCTTTCAAGGTTGTCCCCCTTTCGGTTACATGCTGCTTTTGGATACGGTATCTTCAAATAGTTGTTTTTTATGTTTTCACTAGGGTGTATAGTTATTAGTAAGAGGGTTAGTTTGATACAAGCTGTTCTCAGTATCAGAATCTACTGTTACTGTTTTAATGTACTGTTTCTTGTTCTTTTAAAAAACATTTTCTTCTCTTTTTTCTCAGTTTTGTTTGTTTTCCTACTTTCTGGAGTAGAAGGCAAGTGAAAACGGTTGTTTTAATGCAGTACTTTGACAGTTCAGAAACTGTCATTTTCCTTTTGTGGTTTCTTATTTTCAGTATTTATGTTTTCTCTTAAGATAGCTGTGTTTATTTCACTAATTTTTTAAGAAATTAGGATTTCCCTTATTACACTTTTTTCTGTTCATTAATTTCTGTTTTTATCTTTATTAAAATATCTAAAGCTGTACATTTCCCTTACCTCACTGTTTCAAATGAATCCCACACATCCACGGTGTTTTCTGTTATTTTTAGAAATTCTGTGACTTCATTTGTGTTTTCCCTCTAACTCCCACCTAATGCAACCTTCAGTAAACCTTCTCTACTTTCCCCTTCCCTTGTCTCTTCTTCCATTTTAGTGGCATTTCTACTTGATGAGGACACATGCCATATACCATTAGTAGATATTTTTCTTCCCTGCTCTCTTACCCACAGTGTAGTGCTAGATCTAAGGTTATGTATCTTAAATGCTCAATATCAGTTCTTTAGCTGATTTCCCCTGTCCTGTCTTATGTTTAATATTCATCTTCCAGTAGATTCTTCACAAAAAGCTCATGGCTATAGAATTCCCCAAGCTCTTCCATGTGTTTCCTGTAGGCCTCTTACCTGAAGACTCCCTTGGATGAATCAAGTGTTATCAAAAGTGTGGAAAGGCGCAGTTATATATGGCCGTTATGTGGTCATATAACGGCCATATATGTGGCCGTTATATGTGGCATTGTGAGCTGGTCGGCCTTTGGAGGGCAGTTTGGCAGTGTAAGCATATGTTCAATATTAAGCCCAGTAATTCCACTCCGTTAGCACTCATATGGAAAGACTGATGTGTTTGCAGAAAGGTATTGCTTATAACCTTTTGATTGGCGATAAATACAACAGTCTGTTCATTGACAGAGGAATACTTTGTTAAATAGAATGTGGTCGGCTGATGGACATAGTATAACAGTTATTAAAAAGAATGGAATTAAAAAAAATTTTTTTTAAATAAGAAGAATGGAGTTAGGTCTGTGAGTACTGGTGTACACATAGCCCCAAGATATTTAATGCAAATAAGTCAGAATACAGATGGGTTTTACTTATAGGAAAGTAAAATTGTTTACACATGTACCTAAATACAAATGAAAATGAAGAGAAAAAAAAATGATAAAGAGCACTCATGAAATAGTTAAGAGCAGTTACCCAGGTGTGAGCTGGGGCAGAGTCCAGAAAGAGAACTAAACTTTCTCCTTTATTATCTTCAAACTACTCTAGATTCTTTCTAACAATAACAGAGATGTTAATCACATGTAGAATTAAATAGAATGAAATTAAACCACAAAAATAAATTTCCTGAAAAATGTTTTTTTGACTTCCCTTATGAGTGATTTGCCACTTTATTTCATTCTTTCTTGACCACTTCGTCCAAGTCTTAATATTTATTTAACCTGAGTTGTCATAATTTGTTATTTAAGATTGTTAATTCATTCCTGCCAGTTTCTGTCCTTGGTTGTTGCTTTTGATTCCACAATATTTTGTTCTCAACACAATGTTTTTTCTATCCTGGCTATCCAATGAAAAACTTACCCCCTTTTTTTTTTTTTGAAAAATCTTTTTTACTGAAAAATCTCAATTATTAAAGAAACAACAGCATAATTACCATCCTTATGTACATCATCTTGATTTTATGCTTCTTAACATTTTATTGTATTGCAAAAGTTTTTTTGCTGGTTAAGAGTTTTAAACTAACTTTTTATTAATGGAAGAATTTCAGACATGTTCAAAAGCAGCAGCAATAGTATAATAAAGCCCCAGCTTTAACAGTCATCACCATGTTACAGTCTCGTTTCATGTTTTTGTCTCATTTTTTCTGAAATGTTTTTAATAATTTCCCTCTATAAATACTTCAATATGTATTTCTTTGAAAAACAACTAGAATGCCATTTTCACAACCCCTCAAATTCATAATGCTGCATTTAACATTATCTACTGCCAAGTAAATGGCCTCAAAAATGTCCTTTTAGGGACACCTGGGTGGCTTAGTCGGTTAAGCCACTGCCTTCAGCTCAGGTCATGATCCCAGGGTCCTGCGATCGAGTCCCGCATCGGGCTCCTTGCTTGGCAGGGAGCCTGCTTCTCTCTCCGCCTCTGCCTGCCACTCTGCCTGCTTGTGCTCACGCGCTCTCTCTCACTCTCTCTCTCTGACAAATAAATAAATAAATAAAATCTATAAAAAAAAATGTCCTTTTACATTCAACTTGTTGTGATCAGGAGTTTGGAACTGAACTTGTTGAAGGCCTGGCTTTCTGGACCTTTTTCCAGGGCCCTAGTTGAGAATCAGCCTGGCAACATTCCCCATCATACCACCCGTCCCCCAACTGAGGCAGGTCTTGCCTCACTCATGGGGAGAGCATTTCCACCTGACACGCTTTCATTTCTGTTTTCCTTACCCAGATCTGCCTTCTGAGATATCAGCCTTCTTTAGGGATACCAGGAAAAATGGCCACAGGGTCCCGGAAAGCCAGGGTAATGGTGAGTGTTTTCTGTATTTCCACACTGGCTGTTTCAGAGTAGACACATTTTCTTATCCTGGCTGTCTTGTTGGTACCTGGCAGAGTCTAGCTCTAGTCCTGGAGGTTTGACTTATCTTACCTGAAGCCTGTTCCACCTGTGACTTAAGTCACTCACCAAGTGGCTGACTCTAAGCAACAAAAGTTTGTATAGGAGAGAGTCCTATTCCCTTGTTCAGCTTTAAAACTTTTTTACAAGCTGAGAGTGATATCAGGGAAAATAATGAAGTAGGAAGCACCAGGAATCTGTCTCCCTACCTAGGCAACAATTTTATTGGCAAAATCTTTCTGATGTAACTATTTTGGAACTCTGGAGTCTAGTTGAATGGTTACAGCTTCCAGAGGAAGGTTTGGAACAGTCGGTTCCAGCCCTTAGTGCAGTACCCATCACCCACCCCATCCCTGTGGCCGAAAGCCATGCGTCTATTCCTGAAGCAGTTTGCACACAGCTTGTGGAGTCAGCCTGGGCAGTTAAGGACCTTGTCCTCCAAATATTGAGGATCTGTGTTCTGATTTACGATTGCTGCTTCTCATACAAAAATGAGCCACCATTGTTACAACTCCCACTGGCTGAAGTACAAAATTTAAAGAACCAGATCCTGGGAAGTTTCTTCCCCTTTATTTTTTCCCATTTCGCCTTTTTTATCAAGACATTTCAGGACTCAAACATCCAAAACAACTGCATATATAGGGGATTTAGAAAGTTACCATGCATACCCATGGAAAGGCAAAGGATCAGAGAAGCATAAGAAAGACCTGAGAAAACCCTAAGTTTACACCTCAGGCTGAATCCCAGCACAGACAGCCTACACAATTTTAAAACCCAGTAGATACTGGGGAGTGTGAGTTCCAGAGTTGCCATATTATAAGATTCAGATACCCAATTTTCCACAAAAAATCAGGATGCATACAAAAAAAGAGGACAGTATAGTCCATTCAGAGGAAAACATAAATCAATAGAAACTATCCCTGATAAAAGCCAGGTGGTGGGACTTCCTAGACAAGGACTTTAAAACAGATGTCTTAGAGATTCTCTGAGCCAAAGGAAGACATGAACAAAATCAAGAAAATTATGTTAGGACAAAATGGAAATAGAAATAAAGAGACTGAAGATATAAAAAGCAACTAAGAAGCTCAACAAACTCCAAGTAGGATAAAGTGTCAAAAAGATCCACACCACAATACAGTGTAACCAAGCACTTGGAAAGCCAAAGGCAACAGAGAATCTTGAAAACAGCAAGAGAGAAGCAATTTGTCACATACAAAGGGTCCTCTAAAATCTATCAGCAGATTTCTTTTTTTTTTTTTAAAGATTTTATTTATTTATTTGACAGAGAGAGATCACAAGTAGACACAGAGGCAGGCAGAGAGAGAGAGAGAGAGGGAAGCAAATTCCCTGCTGAGCAGAGAGCCCGATGCGGGACTCGATCCCAGGACCCCGAGATCATGACCTGAGCCGAAGGCAGCGGCTTAACCCACTGAGCCACCCAGGCGCCCCTATCAGCAGATTTCTAATCAGTAACTTTGGAAGCCAGAAGACAATGGGTTGGTATATTCTGTGCTGAAAGAAAAAATTGTCAACCAGGAATTCCATATCCAGCGAAACTGTCCTTCAAAAAAGTAAAAGGGAGAAATTAAGACGTTCCCAGAAAAAGAAAAGGTCATATAGTTTGCAGCCACCAGACTTGCCTTGCAAGATATGCTAATGGGAGTCTTTGAGGTTGCAATGAAAGGTACTAAAGAGTTACTTGCTGTTATAGGGAGAAATAAAATTCTGCAGGTAAATAAGTCAGCAGTTATATAAGCTAGTGTTATTATCACTTTGGTTTACTACACTTTTTGTTTTCTGCATGATTTAAGAGATTAATGCCTTAAAGAAAACACAATTGTGAGTCTATATTTTGGGACACAACGCATAGAGATGTAATTTTATGACTTGAATAACTGACGAGGTAAAGGCAGCACTATATAGGAGAATTGTGTATACTATAGAAGTTAAGCTGATATCAGTTCAAATTAGGGTGTTACAACTTTAGGATATTAAATGTAATCAATGTGATAACTCTAATGAAAAGAGAGTTAGAGTATACACAAAAGGATATGAAGGGGTATCTGGGTGGCTCAGTAGGTTAAGTGTCGTGCTCTTGATTTTAGCACAGGTCATGATCTCAGAGTTGAGATCAAGCCCCATGAGGGACTCTGCTGGGCTGGGCATGGAGCCTGCTTGAGATATTCTCTCTCTTACCCTTCCCTCTTAAAAAAAAAAAAAAGAAAGAAAGAAAAGTAAAAGAAAAAGATGTCCAGGAAACAACATAGTTCTGCAACTTAAAAATCTAGAAAAGAACAAACTAAACCTAAGGTAACAGAGGAAGGAAATAGTCAAGATTAGAACAAAGTTAGAGGATAGAAAAATAACAGAGAAAATCAAAGAACCAAAAAGTTTACCAAAATTAACGAAACTTTTAGCTAGTTTGATTGAGAAAACAAAAAGTCTTAGATTACTAAAATCAAAAATGAACTGGGGCATTACTACTGATTCTACAGAAATAAGGGGGATTATACAAGAGAGTTATAAACTACTGTGCCTCAACAAACCAGATGGCCTAGATGAAATGTACAGCTTCTTAGAAGCAAAAAACACGTGGGTGGCTCAGTTGTTTAAGCATCTGCCTTTGTCTTGGGTCATGATCCCAAGTCCGACACCAGAATCTGTGTTCTGCAGGGAGTCTGCTTCTCCCTCTGCCCCTCCCCTTACTCCTTCTCTCAAGTAAAGAAATAAAATTTTTTTAAAAAGAAACAAAAAACCTCAGGACAGAATCATTAAGAAATAGAAATTCTTGATAGACTAATAAGGAGATTGAATCAGTAATTAAAAGCTCCCAACAAAGAACAGCCCTGGAACAATCCTGGACCTGACGTTTTCACTGGTGAATTTTATCATGCATTTAAAGAAAAAAATGGCAATTCTCAAACATTCCCCCTCCCATCCTGAACATGAAGAAGGAACACTGCCTAGCGAATTCTGTGAGGTCTTGATACCAAAACCAGACAAAGACAGTAAAGAAAATTAGAGGCCAGTATCCCTTGTGAATACTGGTGCAAAAATTCTCAACGTAATACTAACAAACCAAATTCAGCATATTAAAAGAATTATACAGTTTTCTGCACTAGTAAAAAATTTCTATACACTGTATGGAATTGCACAGCATATTAAAAGAATCCCACTGACCAAGTGGGACTTAGTCCTAGAATGCTAGGATGGTTCAACATGTGAAATCACTAAATATATACCACATTGACAGATGAAGGGTAAAAACCCTATGTTCATCTGAACTGTTGCAGAAGGTATTTGATAATATCCAGCACTTTTATGATAAAAACACTCAATAAACTACGAATAGAAGGAAACTACTTCAACCTAATAAAGGCCGTATATGAAAAACTCACAGCTAACATACTCCGTGGTGAAAGACTATAAGATTTTTCTGTAAGATCAAATATGACAGATACACCCATTTCTGCCACTTCTGCTGAACACAGTATTGGAAGTTCTAACCAGAGTAAGTAGGCAAGAATAGTTAAAAAAAAAAAAAAAAGGTAGGGGCGCCTGGGTGGCTCAGTGGGTTAAGCCGCTGCCTTCGGCTCAGGTCATGATCTCGGAGTCCTGGGATCGAGTCCCGCATCGGGCTCTCTGCTCAGCAGGGAGCCTGCTTCCTCCTCTCTCTCTGCCTGCCTCTCTGCCTGCTTGTGATCTCTCTATCAAATAAATAAATAAAATCTTTAAAAAAAAAGGCATTTTAATTAGAAAGGAAGAAGTAAAATTATGTTTGCAAATCACATGACTGTATGTATATGTAGAAAAGTTGCCAGATACACACACTCAAAAAACCTACTAGAACTAATACACAAATTCAACAAAATAGCAGGATACAAAATGGACACACAAAAATCAGCTGCATTTTTACAACACTAACAATGGACAATCTGAAGAGAAACTAAGAAAATTCTACTTCCAGTACCATCAAAAATAATAAGATACTTTTTAAAAAACTTAAGGAGGTGAAAAATTTGTACATTGAAAAATACAAGACCTTGCTGAAATAATTAAAGCAATGGAAAGACACCATGTTTGTGGATGGAAATTTTAATACTGCTAAGATGATCCAAATCAATTCAGTGTAATCCCTACCAAAATCCCAATGACTTTTTTCCCCCAGAAATAGAACTCTTCATCTTAAAATTCATATGAAATCTCAAGGGACTCTGAATAGCCAAAACAAACTTGAAAGAGAACAAACATGGAGGGCTCACAGTTCTTGATTTCAAAATTTACTACAAAGGTACAGTCATCCAAGCTGTGTGGTACTGGGATAAAGACAGAATTACAGAGTAATGGAATAGACCACAGAGCCCAGAAATAAACCCTCATGTATATATGGTCAAATGATTTGGGACAAGAGTGCCAAGACCATTCAGTGTGGAAACAACCCTATCTAATAGATAGTCCTGGGAAACTGTGTGCATACATGCAATAGAATGTAGTTGGACCCATACCTCATATCATACACAAAAATGAACTAAAAATGGATCAAAAACCTAAACAGATAGGAACTGAAACTATGAAACTCTTAGAAAAAAATAGAAGGAAAGCTTCATGAAATTGGATTTAGTGTTGAGTTCTTGGATATTACACCAAAAGCCCAGGCAACAAAAGAAGAAATAGATAAACTGGTCTTCACCAAAATGTATAACTTCTGTGCAAATATATTTGCAAATGACTTGTCTGATAAATGATCTGAGAAGTGACTAATATTCAGAATATATAAAGAAGCATAACCCAACAAAAATAGAAACACCTCAATTCAGTGGACAAAGAAAAGAACTTGAATAGATATTTATGCAAAGAAGTTATCTAAATGGCAAATAAGCATGTGAAAAGATGATCATCATCACTAATCATTAGAGAAATGCAATTAAGTCCACAATGAGATACCACTTTATACCCATCAGAAGGCTGTTAACAAACAACAACAAAACAGAAAGCAACAAGTGTTGGTGAGAATGTGGAGAAATTAGAACCCTTTTGCATCACTAGTGGAGTTGTAAAATGATGCAGTTGCTGGGGAACACAGTGATTCCTGAAAAAAAAAAAAAAATGAATGTGACATTACCATTTGGTCTTGTAATTCTACTTCTGGGTATATACCCCCAAAGAATTGAAAGCAGGGACTCAAACAGCTCATTATACACCAATTTGCAAGGTAGTATTGTTCACAGTCGTTAAAAAGTGAATACAAACCAGATGTCCATCAATGGATGAATGGTGTATACATAAAATCAAATGTTTTTTAGTCTCAAAGAGAGAGGAAATTCTGAGTTCATGCTTCCAAAGGAATGAACCTTGAAATTAGCCTGACACAAAAGGGCAGATACTGTATAAGTCCACATATTTGTACTTTGTAGAATAATCACATTCGTAGAGATGGAAACTAAAATGGTTGGTACCAGAGTTTGGGAGGAGGAGGGGTTATTATTTAATGGTTACAGTTTCAGCACGCGATGATGAACAAGTGGAGATGGATAGCCGTGATGGTTGTACAACTATGTGAATGTACTTAAGGCTACGAAAGTATACACTTAAAATGTACTTAAATGTACACTTGAAACAGTAAAAATAGTAAAATAATTGTTAGGTATATTTTACAATAAAAATTAAAAATCTGTAGGCTGCTACATTCCACCCCTTCTGTATTCTACCTTTTATTCCTCCTGGTTGTCCTCCCTGTTCACGTGGTGGCTTCCTCTCTTCCTTTGCTCACAGTGTCATCTTCTCTGCTCCCCACATGCTTCATCTGGAATACCTAACACTCCCTCTTCTCACTTCTGTGCATCTTAAGAGAAGTTCCTGGGGCTGACTCAGGACCCTTTTCCTGATGTCTGCATTTCACAGTGCCCTCCATTTTGAAATAGAGTTAAGCAGATGAGTAAAACTGGGCAGGAGGGTGAGAATGAATGTAGAGATAAATTTGTGGGTTGAGTGGCCAAGAAGGTCCACCCTGAGCATCCACAGTGTGGGACCATAAATTTAATATATTGTCTACATTTCACTGGTTGACCGCAGAGGTGGACGCCAGACCCAGACAGTATGCTCAAGTCCATGCTCTTCACTGCTCCCCACTTGTGCCTCTCAGACCCACGGAGGCCAAGGGACCATGGCATTTAGGGAAAGGACTGAGTTATAGTTAGGCTTTGCCGTTATTGAGTTTATGAACCCCAGTCATTCAGATGCTTCATTCAGTACTAACATGATTGATATATTACTTAATTTTCTAAATTCTTAAAATTCAAAAGTCTGTTATGTTTGTGCTTTTGTTTAATTTTTATATGTTGCTTGCTCTTCTGTCTGCCTAGATTTGAAGTTCCTGAAAGTTAGGGACTCTTTTTTGCACAAACTCTTCACACAGCCCACCCACGATCTTGACTGTAGATTCACAGTGTTGTTGGCTGGCTGGCAACAGAGGTTTAAAGGTCTTGGAACACATGGCATCAGGGTCACAATGAAAGGCAGAATCCCCCTCCCTTTTTTCTAAGGTTTATTTATTTTTAAAGATTTGCTTGTTTTATTTTGAGAGGGACCTCACAGGTGTGCACACACGAGTGCAGGGAGGGGCAGAGAGAGAGGGAGAGAGAGAATCCCATGCAGGCTCCACGCCCAACAAGGCCTGATACGGGCTCGATCTCACAACTCTGAGATTATGACCTGATGTGAAATCAGGAGCTGGACGCTTAACTGACTGAGCCACCTAGGCGCCCCTAAGGGTTATTTATTTATTTGAGAGACTGAGACAGACACAGACAGAGAGGGTGCACAAGCAGGGGGAGGCGCAGAAGGAGAGAGAGAGAGAGAATCTCAGACAGACTCCCTGCTGACCGAGGAGCCTGATGTGGGGCTCGATCCCATGACCCGAGCTGAAATCAAGAGTCAGAGGCTTAACTGACTGAGTCACAATGTGCCCCAAAGACAGAATCTTGATAGCTCACCTGCCTCCTGCCGGGCAGCCTTCTCCCTTCCCCTCAGCCTGAGTCGTGGGTGAGGCTGGCTCCCCAGTGAGCAGGGCTCTGTATTCTGTTACAGGCACACATGGCCTTCAGAGATGTGGCTGTGGATTTCAGCCAGGAAGAGTGGATGCTGCTGAGCCCTGCTCAGAGATCCCTGTACAGGGAGGTGATGCTGGAGAACTACAGCAACCTGGTCTCCCTGGGTAAGCCCTGGAATCTCTAAGGACTCACATTCTTGCTGCTGGGTGTTTCAGGCTATGCTTGAAGCAGCCATGTTGCTTTCTGAGTTGGCCGTTGTGCCCCTCACCTACAGCCACCTTGTTTTTTCCTTTCCTGTGAACAGGAATTCCATTTTCTAAGCCAAAACTTATCATCCAGCTGGAGCAAGGGAAAGAAACCTGGAGAGAGGAGAGAACGTGCCCACCAGCCACCTGTCCAGGTGAGTGGGGAGTGCTGAGCAAACAGAGCCTAGGGCTGCGGGCAGCTGTGTGTGGGAGAAAGGAGGCATCACTCCGGTGCTGGAGAGGGCAACTCTTCTGACCTCCTACGCTGTGGTTATTGTTGCCTGGCATGGCCTCCCTTCTAGACCTTCATCCTTCACCCAGCCCTGCGGGCAGGGCTTTCCTGGTGTCTCTCATCTCCGTCTGCCACTAGAAGTCTTTCTTCCTCCCACTGGGTTTGCCCTCTTTCCCTCACTCAGATCTCTTCCACAGTCATGGGCTTCTTTTTTCTTTTTTTCTTTTTTTTTTCTTTTTAAAGATTTATGTGAGAGAGATAGCAAACGAGAGAATGAGAGAGAGAGAGTGTGTGCGCACAAGCAGTGGGGGCAGAGGCAGAGGGAGAAGCAGACTCCCTGCTGAGCAGGGAGCCCAACTCGGGACTCAGTCCCAGGACCCTGAGATCATGACCTGAGCCAAAAGCAGACGCTTAACCGACTGAGCCACCCAGGTGCCCTCGTGGGCTTCTTTCTGTTACTGTATTTTAAAAAGACTGAGCAAGAAAGTAAGAAAAAAACCCAGTAAGCTACAGAAAGGAGACAAGCTTGCAGATGCCACCCTCTCTTTAAGACCTCATGTGGCTTCTCCACGCGTACACATCCTCGCTGTCTCTGCCTCCTCTTGGAAGGATGCTACTCACATTGTATGAGGGCTCTACCCTCATGACCTTTTTAACCTGAATTACCTCTTAATTAAGGTTTACCTTAATTACCTCTTTAAAGGCCCCGTCTCCAAATACAATAACACTCTGTATTGAATACTGGAATATAGATGTGTATACAGTTGGTTTTTAAAAGTTCACTTTATTGGGGTGCCTGGGTGGCTCATTCATTAAGCGTCTACCTTCGGCTTAGGTCCTGATCCCAGGGTCCTGGGATCGTGCCCCTCATCAGGCTCCCTGCTCAGCAGGAAGCCTGCTTCTCCTTCTCCCCGTACATGTGTTCCCTCTCTCGCTGTGTCTGTCTCTGTCAAATAAATAAGTAAATAAAATCTTTTAAAAAAGTTCATTGATCAAGAAAATCGTGTTCAGGTTGGTCCTACAATCACTACGTGGTATCTCAAATTGTTAGGTCATTTATTGCCTTCAGGAGACTAAAACCAGCTGTGATAAAACAATACACTCAGTGTTAGCATCTTCTGCACATGAGATTCGATAAGAAGGAATTTCTGCTTCTGTGCTGATTTCTGGGAAGATTTTTGTTTAGATTAATTATGGAAATTAACAGAGCTTAAACTGGTCAGGGGACCCAGGAGGGAACCTCTTTAAGGGAGTAGAGGACTATACTGGGTTTGTGTCATCCATTGCTGAAAACCTGTGGCCTCGTAGAAATTCTGGCCCAAAGTCATCCTCTAATAAATACGTGCTGGTGAGTGGAGGAATTCCAGGCATCTCACACAAGATCTCTTCAACCATCTTTGTGCTGCCTCCTACAACTAGGGGTTCTCCATTCTGAATGACTGTTCTCTCTGTCTGTCCCTTTGTTCTCAGAGGGAAATAGGGAAAGACCTGACACTTCCATACAGGTCCTCTGGTCAGATCTCTGTCAGTCAGTGAAAATACTTGCGGACACGGTTTCTGTCATGTGCGTGGTGGTGAGGAGACGGTTGCAGTAGCTGGGGAGTACTCTCGCTTAGTGGCCCTATTTAAAAGAGCTGAAACTGTCTGTGGTGATTTTTGCAGCTGGCTACATGGGAGAGGCTTGGGAATGGATTTTCTGGGTTGTAATGGAAGAGGCTGGAAAAGCATTTCATTTAAAGGAAGTCTTGAGACAAACCATAAGAGACTCTTAATCTCAGGAAACATATTGAGGGTTGCTGGAGGGGAAGGGGCGGGAGGGATGGGGTGACTGGATGATGGACATTGGGGAGGGTATGTGCCATGGTGAGCACTGTGAATTGTGTAAGACCTGTACCCCTGAAACAATTAATACATTATATGTTAATAAATAAATAATATTTTTAAAATGAATTCTTGATTGGGTAGCTGTCAAGTTTTCAGCATTTTGAAGAGCAGGGAATTGGGTCCCACAGCAGACTGGGCAGACTTCCTCAGGCTGCCCCACTGAGTCTCAGTTCTAACTCTGACTTTATCCCTCTGCAGCAGAACCAAAGCCGGAACTCCACCTCTGTCCTTTCTGCCCTTCGGATTTTTCCAGTCAGAAATTCCACATGCAGCACATGCTGTGTAATCATCCACCATGGGTCTTCACGTGCCTCTGTGCAGAAACTCACGTCGAGCCAGGGGATCCGTGCCCAGTGGACCCGAAGCAGCAGCAACAAGCCTCAGATCGAGAGCCGTGGAGTGATAAAGCAGAAGGTCAAGAGACAGAAGTCGCCAAGCCTTTGTTTGGCAAGACAAAGAGGAGGACTTCGGGGACATTCTCTAGGCCACCCCAAAGGCAGTCAGTCAGCTCTAGGAGTGGCATCAGAGGCATGGAGATAGAGGCCAGCCCCACTCCGACGGGGAACCCCGAGGAAGCAGACAGACTGTTGAAGAGGATAGAAGTCTTGGGCTTTGGAACGGTCAACTGCAGAGAGTGTGGACTGGGCTTCAGCAAGATGACAAACCTGCTCAGTCACCAGAGGATTCACTCCGGGGAGAAGCCATATGTGTGTGGGGTGTGTGAGAAGGGCTTCAGCCTGAAGAAGAGCCTCGCCAGGCACCAGAAGGCCCACTCGGGGGAGAAACCGATTACGTGCAGGGAGTGCGGCCGCGGATTTAACCGGAAGTCAACGCTTATCATCCACGAGAGGACACACTCAGGCGAGAAGCCCTACATGTGCAGTGAGTGCGGGCGAGGCTTCAGTCAGAAGTCAAACCTCATTATACACCGGAGGACACACTCGGGGGAGAAGCCCTACGTGTGTCGGGAGTGTGGGAAGGGCTTTAGCCAGAAGTCTGCTGTCGTTAGACACCAGAGGACACACTTAGAGGAGAAGACCATCGTGTGCAGTGACTGCGGACTAGGCTTCAGTGACCGGTCGAATCTCATCTCACACCAGAGAACACACTCCGGGGAGAAGCCTTATGCCTGCAAGGAGTGTGGGCGCTGCTTTAGGCAGAGGACGACCCTGGTCAACCACCAGAGGACACACTCCAAAGAGAAGCCTTACGTGTGTGGAGTGTGTGGGCACAGCTTTAGCCAGAACTCAACCCTCATCTCACACAGGCGGACACACACCGGTGAGAAGCCTTACGTGTGCGGGGTATGTGGGCGTGGCTTTAGTCTGAAGTCACACCTCAACAGACACCAGAACATACACTCAGGGGATAAGCCCATCGTGTGCAAGGATTGTGGGCGAGGCTTCAGCCAGCAGTCAAATCTCATCAGACACCAGAGGACACACTCAGGGGAAAAGCCCATGGTGTGTGAGGAGTGCGGGCGAGGCTTTAGCCAGAAGTCAAACCTCGTAGCACACCAGAGGACACACTCAGGGGAAAAGCCATACGTGTGCAGGGAGTGTGGACGGGGCTTCAGTCACCAGGCGGGTCTCATCAGGCACAAGAGGAAGCACTCGAGGGAGAAGCCTTACATGTGCAGACAGTGCGGACTGGGCTTTAGCAACAAGTCAGCTTTAATCACACACAAACGGGCACATTCAGAAGAGAAGCCATGTGTGTGCCGAGAGTGTGGCCAAGACTCTATCCAGAAGGCACACCTCCTCTTACATCAGGTGACACACCAGGGGGAGAAGCCTTACATGTGCAAGACGTGTGGCCAAGGCTTCAGCCACAAGTCGCACCTCAGCAGACACAGGAGGATGAAATCTGTCCACTACAAACCGCCACTCCAGCCTGACTCTGAGGCCTGTACAGGACAATCTCCTGACCTCTTACACTCTCTTTGAGAGTGAACGTGGTAGCAAGGACTAAATAAATCATCAAAATTGTGACACTTCCATGAAATGGAGTAGAGAAGTGCATTCTGGGGGCAGTCAGAGGACATTTGACTTAGTTCACTTTCTCCACACTAAGTCTTCATGTTTTGGGGCCTTTTGTTCTAATAAACATTGCTTCTTTACGAATCTGTAACCTTGACTACATACCTCATTCACTCATCTGTAAAGATAAGGGACAAGGAGTGGTACAGATAGCTGGAATTCTCTAAGGCCACTCTTCCACAAGAATTCAATTCCTTGGAAGACAGGAACCTCTGAGTCACTAGAATATTTACTGGAAAGTCTGGTCCTTGGTAGAGGGGGGAAATGGAGGAATTGTATTCAGGGATTTCAGGTAAAGAGAGGGAATCTTCTAGGTTTCTTCCCAAAAGCATGGCCTCCTCTAGCAGATCCACTTCGATTTATAGCTACCCTCTTCCCTTGACATCTGTGATGGCCCCCTTTCTCACTTCTCTCTTCCTAGCTCTGAAATGTCTCTGCTCTTGCCTTTGCTGAATCATTCCCTAATCACATTAAATGCTTTTTCTCAGGCTTTATTTAGTTCCTGGTCCTTCCACCATGGAGACCCTCCAACAGTACATTGTAACACTCCAGTCCCTCGGACCTGGAGTCTTTCAGCTGTGACCAACCAGTTTCTTCATCTCAGAGCCTGGGGTCTCCAGTCACGTTCCTGTCAGACCACCAGAAACATGGAGGATCTCCAGCCACCCCAGCCACACCATCTCACTGGCACTCCAGTGATATAATGGCCTTTAATAACCACATGCTCCCCTCAGTCCTCCAGTAACAGGGAAAAGACTCTTGGAGCCACTCCCCCAAATCAGTCCTGGAATACCAGGGTTTAGGACCTACAGTCATGTTGGGGCGCCTGGGTGGCTCAGTGTGTTAAAGCCTCTGCCTTCGGCTCAGGTCATTATCTCTGGGTCCGGGATTGAGTCCCGCATCGGGCTCTCTGCTCAGCAGGGAGCCTGCTTCCCCCCTCTCTCTCTGCCTGCCTCTCTCCCTACTTGTGATTTCTGTCTGTCAAATAAATAAATAAAATCTTTAGAAAAAAAAGAACTTACAGTCATGTTCCTCAGCTTTCCATCCCAGGCCCAGTCCCCATGCCAGCCATCCAGGAACTGGTCCAAGGTCCTTTAGCCACACACCATCAGCAGTTCTCCAATTGCAAGTTTAAAGATATTCAGCCATATTTAAAGACTCCTAACCATACTTTCACAGTGTTCCAGTCCAAAGTCCATTTGCTCAAAAAAATGACCTTTAAGGTAAAGACCCATCTCAAGGACGCAGCTGTAAAACACCCCCCCCCCTTTTTTTAAAGGCAGACTGCCACGCGCAGCGCCTCACTTGGATGTATCTGGAGTCTTGGAAGCTTGACTACCCTATGTTCTCCTACAAAGGGACCTTGAGAGCTTGTTTGGAGGTTCTAGCAGGGGAGCACAGCTACTCATATACCCTTGACCGAAGAACAGCCCTCTCCTCTATCGGGGAAGGTCGTCCTCTTCGACTGAGCATGCAGCTTTGGGAGGGACACACATGGAGCAGTGAGGGGGGGAGAGGACCCACCTAGCCAGCCAGAGCAGCTGAGTCAGCTCTGGCAATCAGTGGGGTGACAGATGTTGCAGCCTGATCGTCCTCACATCCTGTAAACCCTTTTTTAAGATTTAAGAAGATTAACTATATAGCTCCTAGACTCTCAACTACCACAAAACATCATCCTACAGCACCCTGGCAACCCAAACAAGAGAGAGCCTTCACTTGAAGAGTTCTATAGACGTTGTATCTAATGGAGTAAACTCCTGTTAAGAGGCATGGGAAACATGAGTTTGTAGTAGAAACACCAGGCTGACCTGAAAAAGACAGAGAAAAACCCCAACTTTTTCCTCTTTTTAAAGATTCTTATTTGAGAGAGAGCATGAGCAGAGAGAGGGGGCAAGGGAGAAGCAACTCCCCACTGAGCAGAAAGCCGGACACAGGGCTCGATCCCACAACCCTAGGATCACGAGCCAAGCCAAAGGCAGATGCTTAATTGAACCACCCAGGTGCCCCCAAATCCCTACTTTTCTATAAGCAGGGAGGCAGGCAGAGAAAACTAAGCTGCAAATACAGGTTATTTTGTACAGAAAAGGAAGAATAAGTGTAGACATAAAATCAATTGAGAATCACTGCCAGAGAGCAGTACTGGACACTAATTAAGGAACTGGTGGCATGTGCCCAGCTGAATTTCAAAATGTCTGAACTAATACCTGCTGTACATCTGTCATTTCTCCATTTTTTAAAACAGAACCATTTATTGTGATATTTTATCCCCAAATCAACACTGAATGTCAGATACATGTCTTCGGCTCTCAAGTCTTCAGATAAAGAATCATCTATGCTTGGACATGGGTTAGATAACAAGATTCTGAACTTTGAGTCAATGCCATAATGAAATAAGACTTTGAGGGTCTTAGGGATGAGTGTATATTTCACATGGGACGGACATGAAGTTTGGTGTTCAGATGGTAGACGGTGCAGATAGTCTCAAAGATGGTTATTATCAATTCCTTCACATATGTGTGTGTGCGTGTGTGAGAGAGAAAGAGAGAGTCTAATTACCCTCCCCATGGATCTGGATTGGCCTTAGGGATTTGCTTAATCAAAAGAATATAGGAGAAGTGTGATATTATGGGACTTCTGATGCTAGTTCATGAAAAAACCTTATGGTTTCTACGCTGATTCCCATTTTCATGCTGTGAAAAAAAGCCACACTAAGAGACCTCATCGAGGTATTCTGGTCAATAGCCCTAGCTCAGCTAGCCAACAGTTAACGTCAGCTGCAGTTACGTGATAAAGCTGTCTTGGAAACCCCCTTCTGCTGCACCTTCACACCTCAAGAACCGTTCAGCTGAGCTCAGTCAGTCTATGGAACTATGAGGGATGATGACAATCAAATTGTCTTAAGCCCTAAGTTTTAGCGTTGCTATTATATAGCAATAGATAATTTTAACACCTTTGAAACATGGGGCGCCTGGGTGGCTCAGTAGGTTAAAGTCTCTGCCTTCAGCTCAGGTCATGATCCCAGGGTCCGAGGATTGAGACCCGAATCGGGCTCTCTGCTCAGCAGGGAGCCTGCTTCCTCCTCTCTCTCTGCCTGCCTCTCTGCGTACTTGTGATCTCTGTCAAATAAATAAATAAAATCTTAAAAAAAAAAAAAAAGAAAGAAACATAGGACTGACTTTTCTAACTATGACTCAAAAAATCTTGAAGCCATAGCGAAAATAGGTCGAGTTTTGCTACACAAAAATAAATTCTGCAAGACAACCCACACCTTCAGACAAAACCAAAGACAAACTGGAGGGACATACACTGAAGTCCATAATATAAAGAGATCTACAGGATATCTCTGGAAACGGAGTTTTTAAAATCAACAAAAGGGGTGCCTGGGTGGCTCAGTGGGTTAAGCCTCTGCCTTTGGCTCAGGTCATGATCTCGGGGAATCAAGCCCCATGCTCAGCAAAGAGCCTGCTTCCTCCTCTCTCTCTCTGCCTGCCTCTCTGCCTACTTGTGATCTCTGTCTGTCAAATAAATAAATAAAATCTTTAAGAAAATAAATAAATAAAATAAAATCAACAAAAAATACACTGACTGTATGATCAGACTCAGATCACAGTGTACGAAGTCATTTTTCATTTTAAAATGTCCTTAATGTCAATGAAGATACAAATGAAAACCACACAGCAAGATTTACACCTGTCAGACTGGCCAAAATTCCAAAAGTTGAAAACATACTCTTGCAATAGACTATGGAAACAGGGACACTTACGTGTTAGTCTTGGGAGTATAAATTGGCACAAGTTATAGTGGGCAACATAGTGATATCTACCAAAATTATAAATTCATATTCCCCTTATGAGCCCATAAACTCAATAGAATTTATCTGATAGCTGTACACGTGTATGTGTGAAATGATTTACATGAGTTCTTCAGTGCAGTAGTAACTTCAAGTTTTAGTAAAGAAGAAAACATTCACCAATAGAGGAACTAATTAAAGTAAACCATGCGTAAATAGAACAAGATGCTGTATATTGTCGAAGAATGAGAAGCATCATTATGTTCTGACCTGGGAAGATCTCCAAGATTAACCAATGGAGGGAGGGTTGGGGAAAACAGTTTAAAAATGTTAACAGCCATTGTGCTATGTTTTACATTAAAAAGCAGAACATATTTTTAGAAAATAAAAGCTAAGTTGAAAGACTGCACTTCCAGTTTCAAAACTTACTAAAGCTAGAGCAATAATCAGTGGCATTTCAGGAACAGAAGCCCTACAGCAGAATTTTCTTCCAAAATAGCCCAAGGAATGCAGCTTTTCATACAAATTCATGCAAAGAGTTTAAGTTTTGCACCTAAACTTATACACTTGGATTTTCTTCTAAAATGGCCTAGAAAGATGTTTTTCATCCAAATTAGCACAATAAGTGGGATTTTCTGTCTGTAATACTACACCATGATCTTGGAAATACAGTTTTTCATCCAAATTTATTAAGTTTTATGGGTTTTTGGAAATAATTCGTATGCCAAACTTCTCTCTCTCTCTCTTAAGATTTGTTTATTTATTTGAGAGAGAGGGCAGGGACAGGGCAGCAGGGAGCAAAGGGAAAGGGAGGATCCTAATATGCAGGACCCTGGGATCTTGACCTGAGTCAAAGGCACTCAATGGAGCTACCAGGCACCCCACCAGACTTTTCTAAGATGACAAAAAAGTATGACTTTCCATCTAAGTATGCTCAGACTGGAGGGTAGTGTGGTTATAAATTCTATGCTACATTATTTTAACAAACTACCTAGAAATACACTTTCTCATCCAAACTCATTCAAATCATTGGTTTTGGGGGGCACAAATTCTTCATCAAATTGTCCTCTCAAATGGACAAGAAACATGATTTTTAAAATCCAACTTCATATAAATGATGGAGCTTTGGGAAATAAGTCGTATGCCACATATTTGTCCCAGATACCCCGCTAATGTGATATTTTCATCTACATCTATTCAAATTTGGGGTCTTATTGAAACTAGGTCCTACATTGGATTTTTTTTCTAAATTATGCCAAACATGTGATTTCTGACCCAAATTCACTCAAATCTTGGTATCT